CAGTACGTTTGCTCGACGTTTCTTCCTTCTTCCTTGGAGAGTTTTTGCAATTAAGATGTCAAAAAAGTACATACTGAGACGCTCAACGGCAGCTCAACCATCTTACAAACGCACACGCCGTTCGCGGTAGACTCACACTAAAAGATGTCAATGAGCGTCAGTTTCGAAACGAGTCGTTCCGTGAACCCAAAGAATTCTTTGACAAGACGAAGGACAGACCTCTACAATCAGCTCTAGACTCACAGTGATAAGTTTATTTGTTCTAATAGCTATATTTTACGTATCAATAAATAGTTTTGTCTATTATATTTCCCCATTTACTGTGTTATTCATCGCAGTCTTGTTTTGTAAAATATGCTTCTTGACCTGAGAGGTCATTTTTAATTAAAAACGTGAAACCTTACACCAAGATATCTGATAATCAAATGCATTGCGCCATTTCGTCTACGGTTGCATTAGGAATTATAACATATGAGTTTTAAGAGCATTTAAAGCATTTATTTTGAATTTATTTGAAAGAGTTGCCTTTGGAGTTTCCCCTAAATACTATAAGTTGGTCCATGTACAAAAAACGGGATAAGTATAGGTTAATAGGGTTCTTTCCTTTAAACATTGCATCAAAAATTGTTAAATTATTGTTTATATGACCTTTTTAAATCTCACGAAATTTGCATATTTTGAATGAGCTACACGCTTTTACAGCGTGAAGTCGGGATAGCTATTTTTGAAAATTGAGAAAGACAGAATATCACTCCTGGATCAATATTTCTAGTGTTTTGATGTCGTTGCGACAAGCCACCAGAAGAGAATATCGCAGTGCGTGAATAAACAAACTAAATAAGGTTTTCTACGCCATAAATTACTTTCATATATAATTATATGACTGCCAGAATATTACATGTTTTTTTTAGATACGAATTTTATCTTATCGTGTTGAACTCTTTCGCTCTTCACGTATTCGCAAATCCAAGTAATTTCTCAATTTTCCAAAATAGCTAGCCCGACTTCACGCTCCAAGAGCGTCTAGTTGAATAAAGAAATGCAGATGGTGATGTTTACATACAGCCTTTTTTGTTGCAGCTTTTGAATTATGCTTAGAAAACATGCTAGGAATCCATGTTCAAATTCTTCTTGGAGAACAACTATGCTCTTTTCCATCTAGTCATTTCCATTCAAAAATTAATTATGAGTAATGATTGTATCCAAGCATTAAGTTGTTTCCTTCTCATTTTTCTTCTTTTTAGCTTCTTTTTRGTATGTTGTGGAGTTTCCTTGTTCTGCATGATTAAYTTCCCATTATGTTACAGGGTGCAATGATGTCTATTGCTTTTAAAGAAGGCATCAAGATTCCTCCACCAGCAATGGATCAGATCATTATTGGAGCCAACCAAGATATTAGACAGGTACAATTAAAACATTTTATGACAGTATTGATGCCGGCTCCTTGTATCTCTGAAGTGTATTGACTACACATTTACCTCATTTTTAGCTTTCAAAATCTTGCACACCAATCAGAGAGTGTGTTGTAAAGAGAGTTATTGCATTAGTAGGTCTAGTCTAATGTGTGCATAAGAATATGTTATATGGTTTGGAATTGTTCCATTATTTCCATTCTTCACAATCATTAGCACTCTAAAACAATCATGACTAATCTCAAGTACAATGGCCAGCACTCTGACTGCAGAAGCACTATTTGGAATAACACAGACTCAACTTTAGTGCCACTTACGTCATTGGTAAAATATTTATCATGACATACAATCTCATACCCTTCAGCAACAGCTTTGATGGGATTTTAAATCAAGGGTTCAAATAGCTACAGACTTCAAAGAGAATTCATCTTTGCTCTCTTTCAAGTCTATTTGTTTTTAACTTTCTTGTAATTTGTGTAATATTCATGATCTGCTCTTCATTTCACACTGAATTTATTTTAAACCATGTTCAAATAAAGTTCATTACTCATGGTTATTATGATTGGTAG